ATGTAAATGTAATTTAAAAACTCCTCACTAGCACTCTGAGAAGTCAGAGCACCGTGAACCTAAACTAGCAGGAACAGACAAGAGAACCAGGCCTGTTAACACTGAAACACACACACACACACACACACACACACACACACACACACACACACGTACCAACAGTTCAATGTACGCAGGAGCACCTACAATTCTATAGGATGTCAGTATGTCAGTGTCTCTCAGTGCCTTGCCTGCTGTCCTTTGGACATACAATAGTGTGCAAGTGACTTCTGAGGTACTCCCATGGAATGTGACCATCCACTCTCCCTGGTCTACATTCTGCTTCTTTTTAACATTGTGTGTGTGTGTGTACGTGTGTGTGTGTGTGCGCGCACGCGCGTGAACATGTATGCACGTGTATGGAGGCCACAGATCAACTTTGAGTGTCATTCAGTTGCTGTTCACTCTTGTCTTTGAGACAGGGTCTCTCACTGGAACCTGGAGCTCACTGATTGGGGTAGACTGGCCACGAGCCCCAGAGATCCTCCAGTCTCTCTTCTCCAGTGTTGCGATTACAAATGTGCCCACCATCTTTTTATGTGTTCTCAGGTTCTTATGTTGGTGCAACTGAGCCATCTCCAAAGGCCCCTAGTTGTCTTTATAACTGCTTTGAGAAGCTTTTATACACAACCTAAAAACAATGGCCAAGTAGCAAATCCAGGGCAGTTAAATAACATGAAGGCAGGAGCTACAAGCAGGCAGATAAGTATTAACTTTTTCTCCTGGCTCCATCCTATCAGACTTAGTACATAAATGTCCCGAGGGCCTCTGGGTGCTAGGCACCATGGGCTAACTTAATGACAGCAGCCTGCTCCTGTGGGAATCACCATCCCCAGCCCGCGGAGGCACTGCCAACCACAGAATCCCAACTTGGATACAACGAATGGCTTGAGGGGAGAATAAATGACCCGAGCCTGTCAAACAGAGATGATTAGCCCAGGATTTAATACACAGATATGAGGAGAGATGGTATGACTAAAACAGTCTGTGGTCAGGCTCCGAGGCGAAGACCTTGAGAAAGAAAGTGGTAAGCACAGGCAAAGGGCCGTGACAAGTGCTGAGTGCCCAGGACCCCCAGAGGGGAGCCGGGCAACACACGGCTCTCTCTGGCATGCTCCGGCGGCAGAGTTGCTGTCACTCACTCTGGCCAGGCACGTGGATGACAGAAATGAAGAGGCATTCTTTTCCCATCGGTTCACACTGTCATGTGAACTGGGCAAAGTGCTGAACATAAGTGACTGTCGAGTGCACAGCCTGAAACGGGACATCTCCATCACTCCCTCTGAGGGGCACGGAAGGCAGGTGGACGGAAACAGGAAGAATGGAAAAGCCGAGGATGGTAAGGGGTGCCATGAATCAGTCTCACAGACACAATGTGGCTAAAACATTGATGAACTCATAGACGGCTGTGGTCATCTGCATGAGAGCCTCATAAGATCAAGCCAGCCAACTTTCCATCCTGGGTGGGAGAAGAGTTCGTGAGGCTTCACCTGGAGACCCAGGGAGCTCTCGGCAGTTGATGGTGGCTGGGGGAGGGACAGTCACTTTCTTCAGTTGTGAGGCCACTGGAAAGTTCTGCCCATGCAACAGTCAACAGTCCTCATCTGTGCTTATCCAAGTAGCCTTAGTCAAACTCAGCAGGAGGGACACAGACACACGGATGGACACAAACACACACACACACACACACACACACACACACACACACACACACAAGCAAAACACAAAAGATGAAAATAGGAGGGTTTGTTGGGAAGAAGGATTCAGTGAGGGATGGGGGAGAGGGTAGTTGGGGTGAAATGAGCAAGATACATTATATACATGTATGATGTTGTCAAAAATGCAAGTATAATGTATTTTATGAAAATATAAAAAAACATCATGTGTGTGTGTGTATGTGTGTGTGCATGTGCGTGTGTGCGTGTGTGCGTGTGTGTGTGTGTGTGTGTGTGTGTGTGTGTGTGTGTGTGTGTGTGTTTCATGTCTACAAGCCTGTACTGAGCTGCTATAGCAACCACATCCTCCAGAGGAAGGCTTCCTTCCTTTGTATTTGCGTGGGTACCCTTGGACTAGCCCCAGGTCTAATTATCTGCTGAGACAAAGGTGCTCTCGAGACAGAGGTGAGGTTCTGACCAGCTGCCAGAGCACAGTCCTCAGAACCAAAAGGTCAGGAGCGGTGGGCCTTCCAAGACCAATTAGGAAAAGAATACCTTCTATAAATAAGGCTCCCAAGGACCTAAAACACGTGTCCCCATGGCAACGAGATGACGAGGGTGGCAGCACCCAGGCTGGGACGCTGCATTTTATTTCAGAACTGTTGTTATTTTGTGGGTGCGAGTATACACATGTGTGGAGATCAGAAGACAACTTGTGGGAGCCGGTCTTCTCCTTCCACCGTGGTCACCAGACTTGGTGGTAAGTACCTTTATTGGATAAGCCATCTTTTTGGCACTGAGAAGCTATACTTTAAAAAGAGCTATATGAGAATGTCATAATATGTTCTGTAGTGACAGGAACAATCATTGGATACCTCAAAGAAACTTCTATAGCTTCCATGGGCCAACAAGATGGCTCAGTGGTAAAACACCCTTGCCGTACAAGTGACTGCGTTTGATTCCCATAACCCAGTTAAAGGTAGAAAAAGAAGACCTTCCCCCCACTAGCAGCAATAAACCAATGCATTTCATCACAGCTGGGGCCACCTTGAAGGCGCCCGGTCTTTGGCCGGAGACACTGTCAGAACACTAAGAAGCAGACCACACAGCAACCGCATGACGGAACCTGAACCAAAGTGAAGTCTAACAAAAGAAAGGCCGGCTTGTATTTTAAATTAGATGGAAAACACAAAGCAGAGTGACGCTTAAGTGTGTCACGCTAAAACAAAGGTATTATTTGACAAACAGTATTAAGGTAAGGAGATAGAAACGGAAAAACCAGGACGGACCTATACACCAGAATCAATGAGATCTAGTTAAAGTATTAATTACAAGAAGAGATTAGTTGAGGGCCAGTGGGCTGGCTCAGCGGGTAAAGATGCCTGCAGCCAAGCTTGACAACCTGAGTTCAATTCCTGGGACTCAGAGTTGGAGGAGAGAACCAATTCTCACAAGCAATTTTCAACCTCTGGCCTCCACATGCATGTCCCACACTAACAAACATGCACGTACCACACACACACACACACACACACACACACACACACACACACGGAGTGGAAAAATATCTAGTTTTCCTCCCTGTTAAAAAGCTGATAAGGCCCATTCCCGGCAATCTAGGACTGTAAGAGACTCACAGCCCTGCCCTCAGGAGACGGCGGACAAGAGACCAGGACACTTCTGGGGCAGTGGCTTTCATTCCTCTTTCCACAACTACGTACTGCAATCTTTGAGTTTATTGAACCTTTACAGCAAACAGAATCTTTCCTGAATCAATCTCGGATGATACTCTGATCAGACAAGACCTTTGGAGTCCTTGAGAGCTGGATAAGAAAATCCACATTCAGAAGCATACAGTGGGAAGACGGGAAAACAAGACACCCCAGCCTAGACACACTATCTAGTCACTGTCCTGCTCTGAAGTGCCATTGCTTGGAGATCCACCCTCAGGTACTAAGGGAGACGGCTTCCCTAAGCACACAGTGACCTTCACAATCACTACAGAAGGTTCAAGTGCAGAGGGCAGAGTGGAACTATCCTGTTCCCAAGGCACCTGAGACAAGAAGATCAGAACTAGCTGCTCCAGCACACATGACACTCGGAGCAGAGCTGAGGGAAGAATGAGGAGACCAGACCCGTCTGACACAGTCTAGACTCACCTCAGAAGGGAGTCTCAGAGAAACTGTCTGGATTAGCTTGGCCTGGGGGCATGACTGTGAGGGAGTTTTTAGGTGGGGGCAATTCAATGGGCAGAGTAGGCAGCATTGCATGAGCTGGGCCCTGGGCAGGAGGAAAAGGAGAGCGAGCTGAACACGCATGCACACAGTAGTTGACTGCGGTCTGCTCTTGACTGTGGTTGTGACCAGCTGCTTCACACCCCTCCCGACTAGACCTCCCTGCAATGTGGCCTGTAACCCCCAACTGGGAGCCAAATGAGCCTTTTCTCCTGGGAGTTGCTCTTGTCGGGTATTTTATCACAGCACAGGAAACGAAACAATGGAGTCAGCCTTATAAATCAGATCTCACAGGCCATGGCTCAGCCACACCAGACTCAGTTATGTGCAAAATGACTCTTAACTGGGCTGGCCAGTTGGCTCCATGGGTAAAGGTGCTTGTTGCATGAAGCAGACCTCCTGGGTTCAATCCTGGAGCCCAATCAAGGCAGAAGGAGAAAATCTAGGTCACAAAGTTGTCCTGTGGCCCAAACATGTATGCTGTGATCAACTGCCTCCCTATACAAACATATTAATAATAAATAAAAATGAAAACTATTTAAAAATGGTTTGTCACTGCATCTCTGAAATATTTAAGGTCTCTCTGCCTCTTCTTAGAACGGAAGAAAAGGAACATTGAAATATGACTGAGGCTTTTGTTCATTCTACACACTTTTTAATAAAGTCAAGCAAAAACTTTTGCCTTGGGCTTGGGTGAGTTATAGAGTTTATCTCCTAAATGGCAAAAGCACCATTCCTCAGCCCACTTGCCCAACCAAGCCTGGGTGACAGGAAAGGACAGATGACTGCCTGGTCTGCAGATGGCGACATATTAGATGTGGCTGCTATTTCAAGACAGAGCTTTTCCCTTAATATTTATAGAAAAAAAATGGGTGCCTCAGAACAAAATGAATTTAGCTCACGGGCAAACGCAGATGGCTGTGCATGGTCAAGCCTGGTGTTGGTGCTTCTGACAAATGTGGTTGATGAATTCCAATGAGACTCCATGGTTACGCAGGGAAGGAGCTAGAACGCAGGAGGGCAGGGCTGTGGGTGTGACCTGAGGCCCAGGCTCTGGCGGGCAGCAACCTACCTTCCCCGCATACTCAGACACAATCTGCTTGATCTCAGCAGAGCAGAGACCCACGATCTGGCCCACGGAGCTGGCGGTGAGGCGGCTCTGAAATCAGATGAGGCATATTCTCAGGGACACTTGCTCACACAGGACTGAATATGATTACAAAATACACAGCAATGCCCCAGGAAAGTGACTTGGCTCTGACCGGTGACTCATCTACAAGACTTAGGAACAGAAGTCAGAGCCACCCCTCTATCTCCTGCATCACACAGCTGACTGTTGGTTTCCTTGGCCCCTGGGGACCCCTGGAGCCACCCCTCTATCTCCTGAGTCACTCAGTAGCTATGCTAGCTTGCGCTTACTTAGGTCTTGGATACCCCTGCCAACTTCCTCTCAGGCCCTGGGTATCCCTCCTAACTGCCCCCGGCCTTGGGTACTCCCGCTAACTTCCTCTCAGGACTTGGGTATCCCTCCTAACCGCCCCCAGCCTTGAGTACTCCTGCTAATCCTCCTTCCTCTCAGGCACTGGTCACTTGAACTAGCTTCCCTTCAGGCCCTGCATACCCCTAGGATTCCATCTTCTCCATCCCTATGTCCAGGCCTGGAACTCATATATGAGCAGTAGAAAAGGAACCATAGGTCCTAAAGTATCTCTTGATTCCCACAGGTCTTTCCTGGTCTTCAAAGAAACGATTCCATCGAAGGATATAGCTAATCCTTCAGGAAGGCCTTGAGCTGTGAGAGGGCTCATGGGCAACTTGGGATTTCATCTCCTACATAGCTGGTTTCAGAAGAAGACGGGTTCCCATGGTTACAGAGAAGCAGGGCTGACCCTTGTTCTTCCTTAGAGGCCGGTAAGCCACCCCTGCGGGATATATCATCCCAACAGTTTCCTTAAACTCTCCCTCTTAGAAGGCCCTGGACAATGCTAGACATTATAAAAACCTTCCTGCAAATGAAGCAGGGCTCTCAGGACTTCTAAAGACTGAGGGCTCTGAAGATGGTGTTTCCCTGCCTCAGGACTCTAGAGAGGGGGCCGCGTCTCCCCTCTGTGTTGCCTCTACACCTCCCCCCCATCCCCACCAACCCTCACCTCCTCGTTTGCCATGGCAGTCATCTTGGTCATCAGGGACTGAATTCGTTGCTGAAAGAAGAAGAGGACAATGGTGAGTGGTTGTGACCATGTAAGTGCCTGCCCGGGTCTCTGGTGAAATCTCTGAGCTGCTGCTTTAATGTGGCTCAGTGGTGAGCCTCACCGCCTCTCACAAAGGCAACTGGGAGGGGTGGGAGGGGGCTTGAGAGCAAGAGCTGTGAATGGGAGCTAAATCTCCCCTCCAGTGACCCAAACCGGAACCTCGGAGGGCTGCTGCAGGGCACGCACCTCCTCAGCCGCTCGAAGCTCATCTTCCTCGTGAGCATCCGTCTTCTCTGTGGCCGACAGCCCCGCGGCAAGCGTTGTTTTCTTGTCCTCCGCCTAGACGGGAAGATGAGGAAACAGCTGAGCACCAGAGCTGGAGACTCAGCAGAGGTGAGACAAGCCTGCAGAGAGGTAGCCTGTGAACGAAAACGGATCTGGGGCCCGTGTGAACGAGAAACGGATAATCTAAGGGCGTCAGGTCAAGTCCTAGCCTCCAGAGCAGGCCGGGCAGGCATGGGCTGGTGAGGCCTGCCTCACGCCAGGTCACGTCTACCTGCTGGACTTGCTCTGCAGCTCTGGGATAAGCTTCTGTTGGTAGGCTAGAAACACCAAGACGGACAAGCGGGGGACAGAGGCGGCTGGTACATTCCCAGGGCCCTGGTCGCCCAGAACCTGGTGCTTGATGGGCAGCACCCCTGCTACCCAGCCCACATCTGCTCTCTCCCCCAACCCCCCACTCCAGGTCTTTCTTACCTTCTCTGCTTTGCTCTGGCGACTAAATCCGTATCTCCTGTAAGCCATGAGAAAGAGTTTAATTACTATGCAAAAATCACAATAGATTCCAACAAGTGTATTTTTGACATACACATGCATACAGAGGCCTGGTAAGCAACATCGGATGTCTCCTCCCTCGGCCAGTTTCCATCTTTTTCTGAGGCAGGATCTCTCGATGAACTTGGAGCTTGCCGATTTAGCTCGAATGGCTAGCTGGTGAGACCCTGGGCTCTCTTGTCTCTGCCTGCCCAGCACCGGGGTTACAGGCACATACCCTCGCAGCTGGCTTTCACATGGGTACCAGGGACCGAGCGCAGGCCCTCAGACTTATGTGGCGAGCATTTTACCCACTGATCCATGTCCCCAGGCCTTGCTTGGATTCTTCTATGAAAAGCACCAAACAGGACTTAGGCTATATAGTGCTGGGAGAAAATATTTCAAATGCCTTACCCAGACACATAATCTCCCAGATCTGAAAGTGGCCAGTCATCTTACCACTGTACGAATGCTGTTAAAGGGAATACTAAGACAGTAAGTTCAGAGCATCCTCCAAGAGCACTCATTGCTCTTTGAATGGGAACTGCATCTCAGAATACACTGTATTATTACATTAATACACTGTATTACAGAATAACTATAACCACACTGTAAGCTAAAAACCTTAAAACATCTGTGTAAACATTGTATTTCCGAAGGCCGGATCAGACTCCAATATTACTTTGATGACTTCCAGCCATGCCGTGTTTTATTTTCAAACACAACCCAAACACAAGGTCAGTAATGTGCCCTCACTTCACGAAACCTTAAAATTAAAAGGTGCACCGAGGCATCTCAAATTAGTTTAGTTTTTGGCTTAAAACAAACAAAAATTATGCTTTTTATTTTTTAAAGCAAATACAACAATACAGAAAAACACCAAAAACAAAAGGCACAATGCAAACATCTAGCCTCCCAGATTTTAGTTTGGAAAGAAATAAAGTCACATGCAAGCATTAAGACAAAACATTAAGGTTTTGCTCTGCCCCTGATCAGGACTCGCCTGGCCTGTGGGATCAGTGTACTGCCCTCACTGTCCAGTGTCTGTGGTCTTTCCCCTCACTGTCCAGTGTCTGTGGTCTTTCCCCTCACTGTCCAGTGTCTGTGGTCTTTCCCCTCACTGGTCCAGTGTCTGCAGCCTCCCCCCTCACTGGTCCAGGGTCTGTGGTCTTTCCCCTCACTGTCCAGAGTCTGCAGCCTCATCCCTCACTGTCCAGGGTCTGCAGCCTCTCCCTCACTGTCCAGGGTTTGCAGCCCTCACTGTCCAGGGTCTGCAGCCTCATCCCTCACTGTCCAGGGTCTGCGGCCCTCACTGTCCAGGGTCTGTGGCCTCCCCACTCACTGTCCAGGGTCTGCAGCCTCATCCCTCACTGTCCAGGGTCTGCAGCCTCATCCCTCACTGTCCAGAGTCTGCGGCCCTCACTGTCCAGGGTCTGTGGCCTCCTCCCTCACTGTCCAGGGTCTGTGGCCTCCCCACTCACTGTCCAGTGTCTATAGCCCTCACTGTCCAGGGTCTGCAGCCTCCCCCCTCACTGTCCAGGGTCTGCAGCCCTCACTGTCCAGGGTCTGAAGCCCTCACTGTCCAGGGTCTGCAGCCTCCCCCCTCACTGTCCAGGGTCTGTGGCCTCCCCACTCACTGTCCAGGGTCTACAGCCTCATCCCTCACTGTCTAGGGTCTGCAGCCTCATCCCTCACTGTCTAGGGTCTGCAGCCCCACCCCTCACTGGTCCAGGGTCCAAGGTCTCCCCCCTCACTATCTAGGGTCTGCAGCCCCACCCCTCACTGGTCCAGGGTCCAAGGTCTCCCCCCTCACTGTCTAGGGTCTGCAGCCCCAACCCTCACTGGTCCAGGGTCTGAGGTCTCCCCCCTCACTGTCTAGGGTCTGCAGCCCCACCCCTCACTGGTCCAGGGTCTGTGGCCTCACCTCTCTTGCTCCTCAATCATCCCTGTCCCATCTCACTTTAGCAAGATGCAGGTCTCCTAGGCAGCCTCCCCACCACTTCCTCACATCTTCCTCTTCCTCCAAGGCCCTGCTCAGCCTCATACAAGCAGCTCTTGCTCCATCTACTGTCCACACAAAGCATTACAGTCTGACCAGTTCTCTCCCTTCACCTGCTCTCTGCTCTAAAGTATGTCAGTAAAGCTTCCATGTGCACAGTGCATCCCCAGAGCCAAGACCTGAGCACAAGTCAGCAGTCTTATCCTGGAGGATGCTGCTGCTTTTACAGTTTGAAGTTCTAACATTTGTTATGAAAAAATGAAAAAACACAAATGAAAGAAAATGCAGAAAGTAAGATGTCATAGCATTGCCTAACTTTGCAATAGGCTCCCACAGAACTGGAAAAGATCAAAAAGGACATTGCTGGGCAGTGGGCCAAAGCATAGCAGATTTAATCTAAGGCTGAACTTTGGGTCTGCACACCACCTATAAAGGACATCATGGCAATCTCTGCGGCCTAATCAGAACTGTCAAGTTAACTGGAAAAAGCTACTTCAGAGTTAAAAAAGGCAGAAGGCCTACAACTTCAGGGTTGTGGAGGGTTGGAATGTTTGGGGGCTAGCCTTAACCCTCCTGGTAGTCATCCACTGCTCACTTCTGATCTGATACAAACTTTTCGAATGTCTTTAGCTTCCACTAACTCAACAGCTAAGAATGTCACCAGACAGCATCCCGCCCCACGGCGCACATCTCTTGGTTTGTTTTTTTTTTAAAAAAAAAAAAAAAAAGCCTTTTGTTCTGTAGAGTTTTAGGGAAATATTTCAATGTAGATATAGGCTATTTTGGATATCCTGAATCCATGTTCCTGGGCCTTGGTAACTTATATTTGAATTAAAGATAAACTACTTAAAAAAAAAAAAAACAAATCTAATTTTTCACCAACCATAAGGCTAAGTCACCAGGTAACATCCAAGGCCTATAGCTATGAGTTCTCCAAGTATCTATAATCCCTGTGCCTACCTAATGTTTCCACCAATATATATGTATATATTTATGTATATAATGTGCCTTGATTTATGACTTTCTTTGTTTTATTACTATAAAAGCTTCATGAGACTTCTTCCATATTGGAGCAGGGAATATGGGGTAACTTAAATCTGTGATTCAAACCATAGTCACTCACATTTGGCTCTAAAAAAAAAAACCAAAACTTATCTTTTATTCCCTGTGAGGTAAAAGCTGTTTTTTCATGTCAACAACTAAATCTGGGTGACTCAATTTCATGGCTCAGCTCCTGGAAGCTCTCATCTACTCTCCATACAGACAGGCTCCATCAGAGTTTCATTACATTCCTTTATTATTTGAGAGAGACAGAGACAGAGACACAGAGAGACAGAGGGAGAGAGACCACCTCACTTTGAAGACAGGCTCTGTCACTGGCCTGGACTCCCCCATTAGACTAGGCTGGCTACAGTGACCCCGAGGGATGTTTCTGCCTTTGCCTTTCTAGCCTTGAAACCACAAGTGATGCTACCACGTGCAGCTTTTTACTGTGGGCTCTGGGGACTGAACTGTAGTCCTCAAGGTGGTAAAGAGAGCACTTTACCAAATGAGCCATCTCTCCAAGCCTTTGTTAATCATTTTTAACAAGGGGCCATGCATTTTTATTGTGTACAGTCCCTGTCCCCTCTCAAAATTATGTCCCTGGTCTGAATGATCTCTGGATGAGAAAACATTCAATTCTCAGCAGCAAGCGATGAGCTGGGAGGAAGGCCACCACACTGGGCTTGGACCAGATTGAACTTGGTGGCTTCTGAAACACACTAGTTTCAACTTGGGAAAGAAAGAGACTTGACCTCAGATTATCACCTCAAAATAAGCAAATAAACAAAGCCACACAATGACACATCATGAGAGGCAGGTGAGATGGCTCAGTGGATAAAGGCGCTTGTCATCAAGCCTGAAGACCCGAGTTCAATTCCTACAGCCCACATAAAGGTGGAAGGAGAGAACTGATTTCTGTAATCTGTCATCTGACCTACACACACACATAATAATAATAATAATAATAATAATAATAATAATAATAATAATAATAACCGTCTTTCCTTGAAAAGCTAGAATAGTTCAGCCTAATTTCTTCTGGTTTACCACTGTTTCTCAGAGGAAGGCACCGTGAGACAGTCAGGGAGATGCAGTGACAACGAGTTAGTGTCACACACACAAAGGCAGGGACATTCACCTCACGCAAAGGCAGGAAGCACAAGATACATACTCACATCAAGGGATTGGTCACCCTGGGTAGAGAATGTAGGACATAGGGAAGGTTAACATCCACTGTTGAGAAAAGCATTCAAAGAGGAGCCTGCCCTTGCATGTTTTTAAAAGACATAAGGCTATAAAAGTCAAACCCTTTCTTAAGGACAAAATAATTTTAAGAAGTAATAAAGCTTACTATTAGGTTTTCATTTTTCCAGTCAGAGCAATCTTTGCCCCAAACCAACAGATTAGAGCAGGGCCTGGTGGGACGGGCACAGGTGCTCTGTGGACTGTGTTTCAAAGGAGGGCCAGGAAATGCACTCAAGCCCTGGCCTCCGAACCACCAATTCCCCAAGGAGGTCAGAGCCCATGAGCAGAGGCACCCACATTTCCAGAGAGCTATATAGGCCGGGCACAGAACACAAACTCTGACCTGGAAGTCATAGCTGCAATCAGGCAGAAGTGTGTGTGTATGTGTGTGTGTGTGTGTGTGTGTGGGTGTGTGTGTGTGTGTGTGTGTGGGTGTGGGTGTGTGTGTGTGTACAGGGTCTCACTGCGTGGCCTTGGCTAGCCTGGAACTCACTCTGTATACCAGGTTGGCCTCAAACTCACTGAGATCTGCCTGCCTCTGCCTCCTGAATGCTCAAACTAACAGCATGCATCCCGTCTGTCCTTCCCTCCTGTCTGAACCAGAGATAGTTTATTAAGAAAGGAAAAGCATCCTGGGAATGGGAGAGGGTTAGTAAGCAAACACAAACACTCTAAAAGCCTTTATGTTTCTTTTGTTTGTTCGTCAGTACAGGGAGATGGAAGCCAGAGAACAACCTTGTTCCTCAGGACACGGTCCACCTTGGTTTTCAAGGCAGGGTCTCCCATCAGCTTGGAGCTCACCCAGTAGGTTTACTTTAGGCTGGCTGGCAAGGGAGCCCCAGGATCTCCCTGTCTCCACCTCCCCAGCGCTGGGGTAACAAGCGTGTGCCTCCACTCCGGGCTTTTTCTGTAGTTCTGGGAACTGGACTCAGTTCCTCATGCTGTAAGACAAGCACTCTTGACTAAGCGGCCGCTCTAGCCCCAGCTTTTCTTTGAACTGGTGTAGGTGGTGTAGGAAACAGGTGCTGACCAGCACCCACTGCGTACCTGCCATATTCCAAAAGCGTGGAGTGGACGCGGGACTCCTCGTCCAGCAGCTCTTCCGCTCCCTGCTGCCGCCTGTACTTGCGACGGGGCTTGTAAGTGTCCTGAGGGGACGAGAAAGGCAAGGCATGGAGCTTGAGAGGCTCCCCTGGACTGGGGCTGGGCGCCTCCAGCCAGCCGGGGGAGTAGACCTTTCCTCCAGAATGGGGGCACCTGGTCAGCTCACATCAGGGGCCACAGACACAGAGTCTAGGTGTGACAGATCGAACTGTCAACTTGGCACGACCTGGACGCGCCCTGTCTGGGTCAGGCTGGCCTGTGAGCATGTCTGTGGGGGACTGTCTTGATTGCCTTAAACCACGTGGGAAGACTGAGCCTGAGAGTGGGGGGCACCACTCCCTGAGGCTGGGCCCTGGGCTGTATAAGAGAAGAGAAAGCAGGCTGAGCACTGGGCCCGTGCGCATTCATTCTGCTCGACTGTGACGTCACTGGCTGCCTTCGGTTCCTGCCTTGAGTGCCCCACAGTAATGGACCATGACCCGGAAGTTCAAGCCAAGGAAGCCCTTTCTCTCCTGATTTGTTTCCTTGTCAGGGTGTTTTACCACAGTAACAGAAAAGAAACCAGAGCACAGGGTTTAGGAACACTCAGGTGAGAGGCCAGGCTGGAGCTGCCTCCACCCCGACAACCACGAGCCTCACGTGCTGAGGAAGGCAGCCAGGGCGGAAGCTCACTGACAAGACTGGCCTTTCCCCTGGCGTTTTTCTCTCTTTCTCTCCTTCCTCCACTTTCTTTCTTCCTTATGTAGCTGAGGATGGCCTTGAACTTCTGATGCTCCTGTCTCCAGTTCCAGAGTACTGTTACTGACTCATGTGCTGCCACATCTACCTTTTGTACTCGGGTGCTGAGGGACAGAGCTAAGGTCATTTTAACAGTGTTTCCTTAATTCCACATTTTATACTGTGACTGATAGTTTTAATTGTCAGTGCAACACAATCTAGAATAACCTGGGAAGGGACTCTCATAAAGAATTGTCTGGATCAGTTCAGCCTGTGGTCACGACCAGGAGGAATATTTTTTGAATCCTCAGTCCAGCTAAGCACCGTTTGCTGAGCAGAGAAGGCTGGCTGAGGACTAAGCATGCATGCACTCATTCTCTCTGCTCTGACTGTGGATGTGCCCAGCTGTTTCAAGTTCCTGCCTTGACCCCCGATGATGATGGACTCCCAGCTGGAATGGTGGCCTCAAATCAACTCCCTCTGGCCTTTTGTTGGGGTGTTTTATTGAGACAACAGAGAGGAAACGATAGCATGTAGCTTGCTTCTAAACAAGGAACAATAAAACCAGCAAACACAGAAACAAAGCACCTCATTATGTTATCTTCACTAAGTACGTTCATATCATAGCTTATGTTTAGCCTTAAAAACATTTTTGGCACAGTAAACGGAAGGAAGCCATATATTTTTTGAATAGAGAAGAAAGATCCCAGCACTATCCACTGGAGAGTCTAGAATTCTGCTCTACGGAGCCCCTCACACACAGCACCGGACTCACAGACGCATCTCTTCAATGCCTCTTGTTTTACGATCAAGCTTCCTGCCTTCACTGTTCCGTTATCCAAATTCCTGCCTATTCTTATCGTAGCGCCAGTCTGTTAAGTTCCTCTGTTTTATTAGAATCACACCACATCTCTAGATGACATTAGAAGAGCAGTATCTTTATGATACTGCCTTGTTTTGAAATACAGAAGGGCTCGTGTCTCCTCTGGTCTTCTGAACACGGCTTTTCAAGCGAACAGTCATTAAATGGCCGACCTCCCCACAACCCCAGCCACAAACCAGAATACTATCAGACATGCGCGCCAACCAATCTTCCAAAGGGTCTCTACACAGCGAAGGAGAACTCAACTCTTTCAGAACCTAGCACCGGAAAAGCAAGATGGTTGTTGTGGTGTGAGTGTAAACTGTCCCCACAGGCTTGAGGGTTTGAACCCTTGGTCTCAGCTGTGCTGTTTGGGAAAACTATGGGGCCTTCAGGAGGCGCAGCCTTGATGGAAGAAGTATGTGACTGGGGTGGCTTGGAGCTTGGCCTACTTCCTGTTCTCTCTCTGCTTCCTGTGTGTGGATGAAAAGTGACTTCCCCACCATGATGGACTCTATCCCTCTGAAGCTCTAAAACCAAAATAAACCCTTTTTTGTCTAAGTTACTTTCTGTCGGGGTATTTGTCACAGTAACAAACTCTCCAGAGGGCCACACCTGTAAATAAAAGTGCTCTTAAACTTAAATAACAAAAGCTTAAGAAAACTAAAATGCAGCCGGGCGGTGGTGGCGCACGCCTTTAATCCCAGCACTCGGGAGGCAGAGGCAGGCGGATCTCTGTGAGTTCGAGGCCAGCCTGGTCTCCAAAGCGAGTTCCAGGAAAGGTGCAAAGCTACACAGAGAAACCCTGTCTGGAAAAAAAAAAAAAAAGAAAAAAAAAGAAAAAAGAAAACTAAAATGCCTTGTACCTTTTTGCTGACTTTAAAAATTACTAGATTTTTCTTCCCCTCTTTTATGACAAGGGCTGGCCTTGAACTCCTTGTCTTAAGAAATTCTCTTGCTTCAGCCTCCAGAGCAGATGGGACTACAGGTTCATGCCTGGCTAGAGTTGTTTTAATTATAACCATGTAATACAATAAATATAGATCTATTTTATATGGCATACCTTCTGGTTGAATGTGCACATGTATGTACATGTGCACATATATGACATCTATCTATCTTGAACAAAATGTGTGGCATGATGTGTGAACATGAACAGAACATGTTCAATAACCACTCCTTCTGGTGGCCTGATTTGTCATTTTACCTCCAGTGTATGTCCTTCCTGACTGCTAAGACGGCAGTCAGTAATCTCTCAGGAAAACCTACTTAGGGCTCTGTACGTGGGCCGAGGGACACTGTGCCCGTACATGCTTGTCCCCAGCCGACCCCACGGTCAGCACTTCAACGGCCCCTTTAAAGTAGCGGTTTACGCTAGTGAAAACTGCCCCCTGGGGAGAATCTAGCTTACTGGGCCTTAGTTTACTTTTCTTTATGAAAAGTTTCAAGTATCTGTGACACACACATAATCTCAATTGTTAAAACATGTATTCATTGTATGTGTGCTCACGTTCGTGCATGCAGAGGTCAGAGGTCAGCCTGTGGAAGTCGGTTCTCTCTCTGGGGACGGAACTCGGGTTTGGCAGCAAAGCCCCCTTACCCACCAAGCCATCTCACCAGCCCATCCCAGATTTTTTGCAGAAATTATCCAGCATGATGCTTGAGGGCTGTTCTCATCAAGTTCTGCCCCGAATATCCCCTAGTTCATCCCAGCGTCTACACAAATAGCCAGCTATAAATAACACAAACCAGACTCACACAGAAATGAAACCAGAATGAACCTCTGACACTGTGACTGCATGTAATTTAATTTCCACCGAGCTCTCCCGTTATAATAGCGCTGCATAATTGAGCTGAACTGCTATTCTCCTCAGTCACCATTGAGAGAGCCCATGACTCAAGACAGGAAATTGGATTCTTCTTAAAAAAAGAAAAAAAGACTTCAAAACAATAGCATGGGGAAACCCAGAGCCAAGGGGACTGCTTGATCTGCAGAGCGACTGGCTCTGTGCACCTGAAGGATGCAGCTTCATATGCATCTTACCTTGGGCACTGTGACGCCACCATGAAGCAGAGGCAGAGCATACAGCATTATTTTCAATGTACCATTAAAGGAACAGGGGCTGGGGATGCAGCTCAGTTGACAGAGTGCTTGCCAGGCCTTCGTGAGGCCCTGGGTTCCATCCTCAGAACCGCATAAACGGGGTGTGGTATAACATGCCTATAACTGAGCGCTCCTGAGGCAGAGGAAGTGGATCAGAAGTTCAATGTCATCCTCAGTCACATAGTGATGTCAGGGGCAGTTGTGGGGTACATGAGAGCTGGTCTCAGTAAAAAATAAAACAAATCAAACCCCAGCAAATGAAATAATCTGTCTAAGATCCTAGGATAGTTATTGGGCCCAGGATGGTATTCTCCTAGGACACCGTTAGGATTATATTAGCCTAGGATAGCATGGGGCCTAGGATGGCATTAGCCTACAATAACATTAGGATTAGTGCAGCGTTAGCCCGGGATAACACGAGGCCCCAGATATCTTGGCTTCTGATCTCAAGGCTCTTCTACTAACTTGCATGTTCTAGTCACTCTAGCATGTATGGGCCAAGGGCCGCCTCCCTAGCTGGTCCTCTCACAAGATTCATTGTACAATCTGTAGCTGAGGTACGATTTGATTGAGCAATAAAGACCTAATGCCAGCTGCTGTTACAAGCCAACTGTAAAGAGCTACTGCTAAATCAGTCTTCAGAGCGACAGTCTTCCCCCATCACTGCCACTGACCGCCTCTGTGATGGAGAGAAAGCCAGCTCCCTTCAACAGGCCTCAGCTAGTTCTTTTTCGCCGTAAAAGGAGGGGGAACTAGCAGATTTTACAGGATAGGCCGTGTCTCATTCACCGTTAACATGATTGTGTCAAGTTCAAGTCCGAGAGTAACAAACGATACTGTTTGACATATGACGATGTTGACTTTTCAAAAGTTACACAGAGCCAGCCACATGGCTAGTGGGTAAGAAAGAGACCTTAACCACTGAGCCGCATGACTGCGGGTTAATCCCCGATTAAACCCACACGGCAGAAAGAGTACCCCATAGTATGTGGGTACCCACACATGTATACATACACAATAAAGAAACCAAAACGTTTTTAAAAGTTTATACAGAATCAACTTGCTATTTTTTCCTTTTGTACATGTGTTTGTTTGGGGGTACACATAACTGTGGAAGCTACAGGGCAGCCCTGGGAGTGCTCCCCAGTCACTTTCTACCTTCTGTTAAATCACCTTTTATTTATTCATTTGCTTACTTAGTGTGTGTGCACATGCCTGCATACAGCTACATGCAGACACATGCACTAGTGGGAGGCCTTATGAGACAGGGTCACTCACTTTTACCAAACTCACTTATTTGGCGAGGTTGTCTGCCAGCATGCTGCGGGGACCCTCCTGTCCTATCTCCTGCCAGCTGGATGTCAAGCTCATGTCCCCATGCCTGGCTGTCTCATGTGGGCTCTAGGGAGCCATCTCCCCAGCCACACTGTTTTGCTCTAAGCACATGACGGCCCAGCACTGGCTACTCCATACACACTGCCCACCACCCTTGTTTTCTGTTTACAGACAAAACATGCAGAGTTTACATTTTTATTACACTACTTATCTTATGTGCACAGCTGGGGGAGGGCGCACACATGTGCCACAGTGCACATGTATGTAGAGGTCAGAGGACCACCTGTGGGAGTCGGTTCTCTCCTTCCACCAGGGATCCAGGGCATGGGAATCCAACTCGGGTTGTCAGCTTAGTAAGCGTCCTCATCACAGAGCCACCTCACTGGTCCGTAGCTAACAAGGCACTAAGTGACAGGGACGGGATGACACCGAATGGGGACTCTTCAGATACTTTTCCTGCCTCACTCTGATCATCTCTCCTGGCGGGCTCTGACATTTTGCCTTGGCAAGTGATAAGGACATGTAAATGGCATTGAAAAGTTAAGGTGACCCTTAAAACAGAGAACTCCTGTGTGTCAGACGGCAGCTTTCCTCGCAGGGACAGTTACAGCTGCTCTCATCTGTCACCGTGACACCCCTGAGCCCGCATCCGGAATGGCAGGGCAGGGAGAACAGCACCGGCCGCCGAAGTGTCAAACCTCTGATCGCTGCCCTCACAACCGCCAGGGACAACTTCTTTATTGAAATCCAGAGACGTAAAGCGCCACTACCAATCCTGCGCTCTACACTCGAAGACTCCAGCGGGTCACAAGACGCCCCGCTCAAGAGGAAGCTGTCTCCGCTGACCTTAACTCCCTCATCCTCACAGCCTAGCACGGCTCTCCCAGTTTCCTGCTGCAGTGACAGGAAACTCTGACAAGAAGCAGCTTAGGGAAGGGAGGGACTATGGAGCTCGTAACTCTAGGTTACGGTCCACCACCACGGGGAAATCAAGGCAGGTATAGGACAGCTGGCCACATCCACTGTCAGAGCAGAGGGAAATGCGTGATGCACCTCGCTTGCTTGCTGGTGCTCGGCTCAAGTCTCCACTCTTCCACGGTCCAGAAACCCATCTATAGGATGCCGTTGCCCACAGGGGGGCTGGGTCTTCCCACATCGATTAACAGTGAAGACAATTCCCCCATAGGCCAGCCTGTTCCAGACAGTCCCTCATTGAGACTGTCCTTCTAGGTGATTCTAGATTGGGTCAAGTTGACACAAAGCAGGCCATTGCAGCATCTCTAACAGACAGTCTTCAGTCTAGAAGCTGTAAGTAAACCGCTTCCCACCCCACAGGGCACCACAACGTGCTCAAACCCTACCCCAAAAGCAAACAGCTGTAACTTATAACCACTCTCCTTCTAATTTTTCACATTAATGAAACAGCAAACAGATCAAAGCCCCTGGATACTAAGTGACAGAGATGCTGAGACAGACAGACAGACAGACAGACAGACAGTACTCATCTGTGCATGCTTCTCCAGACACAGACCCCACCTCGCCCCGTGTCGATTTCCATGAGCAGAGCTCTCCTGCGGACCCTGCCTTCTTCTCATGGATCCAGCACAGGTACCACCTCCAGGCTGCATGAGTCTGTACCAAACTGTGTGACTAAGCTGGGTGTGGCAGTGCACACCTGCAATCCTGGCACTTGGGAGGTTGAGGCAGGAGGACTAACGTAATTTCGAAGAAGTCAATGGGGTACATGGCAAAACTATGTCTCAAAAACAAACCTTTAAAGGTTTTCTACCACTTTCCACAATGGCATGGGGCCTGCAAACAAGGAGGACGCAGTGGCGCAGGCTGGGGGTGTCTCTTGAGGTCTTCACGTCTCTGACCATCAAGTGACGTGTTGTTGTTTTCAGTGTCATCACTTTGGGACGACACCAACTTAAGTCCAGAATTATTTTTCTGAAAAGATTCCCTAGCAAGCTCACAAAGCCAGACAAACTCAGCTTCTAATTTTACAGTGCAACCCGGTCATCTGCATTAAATGTACATTTCATATTTAAGCTGGGTGACTTAGGGTTATTATTATTATTATTATTGGTTTTTCAAGACAGGGTTTCTCTGTGTAATAGCTCTGGCTGTCTTGGAATTGACTCTGTAGACCAGGCTGGCCTCAAAAGAACCTCCTGCCTCTGCCTGCCAAGTGCTGGGATTAAAGGTATATACTACTTCTACCCAGCCAGGGTTGCTTATTATTAACTAATATTAAGCACTAACTAAACACCAAAAAAGTAGCTCGGCTGGGGAAGGGATCAGTGGGTAAAAGCGCCTGCCACGGGAACATAAGGACCCGAGTTTACATCCCCAGAAGCTATAAAAAGAACAGATGCATAATTTGAGAATCTTTTTTTTTTTTCTTCTGAGACAGGGTTTCTCTGTGCAACAGACCTGGCTGTGCTGGAACTTGCTTTGTAGACCAGGCTGGCCTCAAGCTCACAGAGATCCACCTGCCTCTGCCTCCTGAGTGCTGGGACTAAAGGCGTGCACCACCACCCAGCTTAATTTGAAAATCTTTAATCTTAGCTCTTCCACCGGGATAGACAGTGAAGAAAGAAAAATCACCAGAAACTCTCAGGCCTGCTGTACACAGCCAAGAAACATCAAAAATACTTTCTTAAACAAGGTGAAAGGTGAGGACTAACACCTGAGCTCATCCTCTTAGCTACGGTCAAAGCCTTACAAATGAGATCAAATAGATGTGTTAGACGTGTTACGACACAATGAAGTCACAAACCAGATGCACAGTACATTGTGTGTTGCTTCTAAAGGAGAGAACTGGGCACTGGGCACAGAGGCTCTATTCTCTTCAGCTCAAGGCCAGAGGCTTCCATCTCCCAGCTCAGGCTCAGAGCATCTTAACAAGGCTCCCCACCCCCACCAGGGACGTGGATCATGTGTAGACTCCAGTGATCAAAATGCACCACGTATGGTGACTTTCCCGTGTAAGCTCAAAGCTACTTTGTCTTCCCAAAGCCATCACGGGACGGGGGCGGGGCAGCGAGTTCCATTCACCGTCTCCAGTTCACCGTCCCTTCTCAAGCGCTGTTGCTTCTCCTGCCACTGGTGGAGGAAGGGGAGCTTTGCGTTCTAATCTTTTAATTCCCTTAAAACTGCAAGTAAGGACTTGGGGCATGCCGGTGGGTGTCTGTGTCCTGGTACCGAGTGTGTGAAGCAGGCAGGGATATTAACACACACCCTTTGCTGCCAGCTCCTGGGTGACATGTGACTTCTACAGGGGCTGTCTGAAGGCTATGCCGTGCTGGGACAGAAGCACACGGGCAAGGGACTTACAGAGAGGTCGACAACCGTCTTGATGGCCTTGTCCTTTCTCTTTATGAAGTCATCATCCTGCAAGACAAAACACAGGAATTCAACCCGTTCTACTGAGGACTAAACTCAGCTGGGCATACAAAGCTCCCTTAGCAAACAATTGCTCATCACTGCTGTGCATGAATTAGTACAAATCTGCGTTTGTGTCATGCATGTGCAGGTACATATGTGTGTGTGCACGCATGTGGAGGGGAGAAGACAGCAAAGCTGTTCTTCCTCTGGTGCTGTCCACACTGCATTTGTTTGGAGAGAGTCTCTCACTGTCTTGAAGCTGGCCAAATAAGCTAAGCTGGGTAGCCTGGGAACCCTAGGGACCTGCCTGTCTCCACCTCCCCAGGGCTGGTACTACAACCTAGCTTTTAAAATGTTGATTCAGGAATTAAATTCAGTATCTCTTGCTCGCCAGGAGCTATCTCCCCAGCTCTCAATTTTCTTATACGTTGGAATATATCTCCCATGGGAAAAAAACTAGGGCCTCTGCAGATAACACTAACAGGGCCTTACAGCAAGTAAGAGAAAAGAGAGGCCATGGAGAGCAGTGATTCAAACCCCTGCATGCCCAGTCCTCCAAAGCACTGAATGTTCCAGTAAGAACCTAAACTCCAAGCCTCAGTTCTTCCATCTGCAAAACAGGGCAGCAGCGCCTACCTGACAGAGCATTTGTCAGCATGCAGATGGAAGGCAACGATGTGCCAGAGCGTTTGATGGTGCTGAGTATTCTTACTGTCGAAATCATCATAAACTGTGCCTACAGGAAATGTGCCACACAAGCAGTCTCCTAAAAAGCTTTTTACAAAAATAGAACGTGGGCCAAGGAGGTGGCTAGATTGGTAGAGCATGCGTCCCACAGGCACAAAGCCCTGAATTGGACACACCCCAGGACCCACATAAAAATAAGCCAGGCAACGTGGCACATATTTGTAAGCCCGGCCCTGGGAGGATCAGGCAGTCTAGATGAGTCTGTGAGCTCTAGGTTCAGGGGAGACCTTTTCAATAATGAGAGAAAAGAAAACAGAAAAAAGGAGGGATGGAGAGTGACTGAGGGAGGTACCCGATGTCAATCTGTGGTCTCTACACACGTACACCCACACACATGACCATGCATGTAATACACGCAAGCTTTTGCAACTTCATCAAAGCGGTTCTGAGTCAAATACTGAACTTGAGAAGAGAACAACAGAACTGCAGAGCCTTATCCTCAATGCCATCTAAGGAGCAGCTGTAACGAAGCACGAGGCTGTCCAGAGGTGCCAGGTGGAGGGTGGGGTGCAGGAGAATCTACGTGCACCCCACCTCAGGACTCTCTCAGTGCACACTCACACCAGCAGGGAACAAGGAGGGAAGAGCACACACAACCTGGCCGGAGGCGCTTCCTCTGTAGTGGGCAGTTAATACTGAGAATTTTGACCGGCCAGGCTGCCGAAGGTATGTGCCTGTTGAGTGCTCAGCCCTGAAGGAGACATGCGTGTCAGCTGCTGCACGGCTCAGGGACAACACAGAGAGAGTGTACGCTGGAGGATGGGAGGGGAGCCGTGAAACACATGACATGGCTGCTGCACCCGTGAGCTCACTGCACCTGTGACCACTGCACCTGTGACCACTGCACCCGTGAGCTCACTGCACCTGTGACCACTGCACCCAATGAGCTCACTGCACCTGTGACCACTGCACC